GTACTTGACTTCTGGATAATTTTTCCCGAACGGCTAGATAATTGTTAATAATTTAATAATAAAAATTTGTCGATTGCTTGGTAAAATTTATTTAAAAATCCGTAAAAAATCACCTAAAAATTTGCTAATTTTTTGTTGAATGACTCGATAAGTTACTGAGTAGTTGACAAATTTTACAATGCGATACGGTAATTTTTTTCTAACGGCTAATACACGACATGATTACCGTTTGGCAATTTTTACCATATTTTTCTGTACGAGCGAAAGAAAAATCCGAATGAGTTCTTGTGGGTAAACATTTGTGGTATTGGGGTTTATAGCGTGTAGAACGTCACAATTGACGTAAACCCGTAGCTGAATATCATCAGCTTAGTAAGATTCAAATGCATGCATCGGTTCTTGATAGCACACACATCAGTACTCACACGTGCACAATTTTGATTAGCATTGTGCATTACCTCTATCAGTTTTCTTCCCTGAGTTTTCCATTTTTTTTTCTAAGACGGAGAAATATCAGTTACATAACAGCAACTGCGATCCACCGTAAAATGACTCGGTGAACTCGAATGTTAAATAGTGATTGTGTGCGTAATGCAGGTCTCTTGTGAGAATAATTTTACGCTTGTGTGAAAAACGATTGATCTCGATAATGATTAATTCCACGAGGAAATATCCAGTGGTAAAAATTTTGTGAAATCTCGGTCCCAAAGTCATCTGGATTTTCAATAATTTTCATCTCTTGGTTACTGAATTCCATTTATCAGGCTTTACTACTTTGTTACTTAATTTATTATGATTTATTGAGCGGAAGATAGTGAGAATAGAAAAGAATATTCATTGATATCAAGTGGTGTAATTAGTTATCGCAGTTCTGCACTGAAGAACAAATCATTTCTGCTGATTAAATTTACTTTGAAATTAAATTTGTTTGAGGGGAGGACTAAAGGGGAATTTTATAGAAATATTATGAAAGATGTTAACGCGGTGAAAACAATTTTTTGTCGTTGGGTGGATATCTTAGATATTTAGAGTCATCAAGATTGCGTAATCGATTCTCACTTCAGGAACGAATATTTAAATAAAATATTATAACAAAAGGAGAGACCCGGAGGAAATTTGTTGAATAATATTTTTTATTCCTAATGTTTAGGCAAGGATTCGATATAATTCAAGCTAGGTTGATAATTTCCGGTGTTACTTGCTGGAGCGTTCGTTAAAAAGTGGCCACCAATTCGTCCAGGGTGTGAGGTCTTCTCCAAAGACAAAGCCCGTTATTTATTGAATTCATTCACGTGTTGGTTTGCTTAGGTCATAAACAGCCTAAGTAACTCATTATTCTCGAGAACCTCTAGTTATGTTTGAATGAAAAATATTTCCAACATTTTGTAGAGGTTGAGTATTTTATTTGCCAAGACGATTTTTTCGTCCCTTCCTTTACCCCAAAAATTAATATCTCCTACTATTTTATTATTCGACGCCAATATCTACTTAATTTTAACAATTTCACTTTAATTACGGATTCAATATAATTTCAGCTAGGTTGATTATTTCTCGTGTTTGCTGGAGAGTTCGTTAACAAGTGGCCCTGACCTCCAATTGGTCCAGGGCATGAAGTCTGCCCCAAAGGGCCCTTTTTCTATTTCGTTAGTCCACGTGTTGAATTGTTTAGGTGATAAACAGCCATAAATTCATCAAGTGTTTGGTTAATCCATGTGACCTGTCACAACGGGTCGCCTGTTCGTGCTAACGTCGAAAATATTTCCAACACTTTTGATATCAAAGATCCATTTGAAGTGGTATTTCTGGTTCTCTTGCGCTAGCTCCAGATTGCCTGATGCATATCCCGTACACAATTGCATCATACCTCACAGTTGCATGCGTATGCATGAATTCAAATAGATAAAATGTCAAACGTGTTTTTGATAAATATTGGCTTATCACTGGTATGCGTTAATCAACAGATGCTAGATGACAGTGATGCGAAGAGAGTGATTCCTCTAAATGATTTATCACTCTCAACGAACTTCGATCCAGCAGAAAACTTGGGATCATATTTGATCTTATCGGCAATCGTGAAGTCCATTTCCGCAAATGACTGATGATAAGAAATTTTCTGATAAGAGCGGAGGCGCGACTTGAGTGTTGTTTCATTGATATATTTAATGGTTGGATAATGCAAAGACCTTTTTTATCTCAACTTAACCCGCCCTGGGGTCGAGGGTAAGACAATTTTCGGGTGAATTCCTACAACTTTAGTTTTGTTATCATCCAATACAACAAGCGTAACGAGCAAGTAGATATCGTTACTCTCATCTTCTACGATAATTCTGTCATTTTCTGGTGGAGCTCGATGAAATATTGTTTGGATTACTTAACTGACAGTGAGGACTGGAAAGTTACTGGGGAAATATTGGGAGGTCTGTGTTATGAAAAATATTAACGGACAACACCACAAATTACTGGATTTATCTATGAGGTTCATGGGAGTGATCCCATTTTTTTTTCGTCATGAGAAATAGTTTCTGAATTCAGGGAAACTGTTTCTCGTTTCTCCACTATTTTTTAGTTGGAACGTATTTCATTCGAATGCGAATGATCAATTAAATTAATGGCAAAATAAAATAAAAAAATAAATAAATAACGCGTGAAGTAGCAATCATGTCTTCTTACTTCAGAAGCATATTGCTAATTTATTAAGAAAGACAGCTACATCATATGCGATATAAGAGCCATTTCCCACTTGTTTTGAGTTGTAAATTGTATTTTCTATTCTGAATAATTTTTTATTGCAAGTTTTTTGCATTTTATTTGAAACTGAAATGCGCACGTGGGGTAGAATAAACTTGGAGTTGACCCCAAGCAACAATGAGGACAATGTTGATGGTCTGTGATGAAGGAACGGCCGTAATATTCTAGCCGTAAATGGTTATTGATCTTAAGTACAGATGTTAAAGGATCAACGAGACAATGGCATCTTTCCCCATGGGTATCTCTGAGGAGTATGAAGCAGAACTTTCGGTTAAAATGGGATAATGAAAGAAAAGAATGGGGCAGAAACCGCCACTTGTAGATTTTCTTTCTAAGAAATAAATAAATTGATACTCTGAGAAAAAATGAAAATTCCATGGATTTGACTGGTCAAGTGTCATGGTGAAGAGTGGAGAAAAAATAGTGATATGTCAAGCTTCGACGAGAATTCATCATTCTGGGAAATTCATCATTTTTGATCAGCAGGGGAACAAGAACTTTTCCAATTACTGGGAATATTTTCCGACAAAATAATTACTCAGTATTAAATCATTCTGACTTTTCAGTTTCCAACGATTTTTCACATATAATAGTTATAACTCCAATTTTTCGTTACCAAAATCTGTTGCTAATTTAATAATAAATATTTATCGACTATTTGATATTTTCTCGAACGGTTAAATAACCGTTACTAGGCAGTTGACAAATTTACTATTTTTATTATTATTATTTTCTTGCTATTGTTTTATTATTTTTTTTTTCATGAGTGGTGCGGTAATTTTCAACGAATGGGAATAACCCGATATGAATACCAAACGGTGAGGTAATTTTTCCTGAATTATTTTCGCGGAGCGTCGAGAAGTTTCGCGTGACGTAGTACGTGATGAAGGATCGACCGGGTGTACGAGCCCCTGGTAGAGCAGCCAATCACCTTTCAGGTTTTATTAGTGTTGACTAAAAGCCGGAGGATCCTTGCATCACCCTTAGAAACAGGCTCACCATTGCATGAAACTGGCTTGATGCAACCATTTAAATCTCGTGTCATCATCATTCCGATTTTATTCTTCCATACCAATATATTCGAGATAATATTTCTCCCAAGTAATATATTTGATATGTCTCACCTTTCCAATCATTCACAATCCTTACTCGTGAATGAAAGAAATTGATACTAAAAACTACGCTATTGCGATGTTATCATGATTCTATCAACTTCCTGTCGAAATTTTCATTATTAACTATTTTAATTAATTTTAGATGAATTCTTTCAGTAATTCTTTCAGTAATTCTTTCAGTTGAAAATGTTTTGAAAAGTCTATCACTGAATTTGTGGTATCCCCTGACGATTACGAGAATTCCAAGATTTTTAAGGAATTCCGGGAAATTTTATGCGAATTTGGAAGTGTTTCTTGGATATTTGGGAATTTCTACTCTTTCATAACAACAAAATGGAGATTTCACGTGAATTTCCACAGAAGCTCCAATTTCCATCCTTCAAATCAACTTAAATCACCTTTTTCAAAAAAATGAAACAATTCCTCTCCCCAATACCCATGAAAATTCTATATGAAAATTTAAAAATTCCCGTCACCCACCCAAACATTCCTAACAGCTACTCAGTCACTTAACGCCCATTTTCCAAGAAATCCTCTCAATTCTTCGAAAGAATTTCTCTTTCACAGTTCTCGCCCCCTAAAAATCAAGAATGACGTAACACCATTCCAAATTTCCCGCTGTAGGGATGAAAACTCGCATCCATTGAGACGACCTTATTCGCCCTTGAAAGCACTGACGAGCCTCCAAGGAGTCGGCGCAGTGATTGGTACGATACCCAACCACCTCTCGAGGGGTGCGGGTCCAGGGGGTTGCAAAGACAAAGACAGAGTGAGACAAGAATGTAACAGCCAAGGCGAAATTCCTGACTATATCTGTAAACAATAGACCATATCTATCCCCAGGTTGACCATTTGGGCCTAAACTATTGGTAGAAAAAATTCTTCAAGAGGCCCCCCTCTCTCCAAGAAATTCTTGACATCCCGATGATCAGGAAATGGCTCGGGAAATGGTGAATACCCATTGGAAAAAAATCCGGGGAATGTCCATGGAGCCTATACTTTCCGGAGCAGCCGCACTAGGTGGAATACGGTTATATCCCCACCGAGGAGAGGACACCCCCCCTGCCCTCCAACGACGTGGGGGAGCTGGAGGTGGGCGCGTGTAGCTGTAGAGGCGCCTCCTGCACCACAGTCGCGATATAAAACTCGAGGTACTCGCGGTCTTACCATCCAGACACTCCTAGAGACCGGCTGAAACTAGATTATCACTTGTACACTTAAAAAATTCGTTATTAATTCTTCAACAGAATTAGGAAGCATTGTCCAGGGTACACCGTTACCAGAGGATTATTTTACTGATTTTAATTCAACTGTTTGTTAGCCAGTTGAACGATTATTGAACGAACTGAACTCGTGCTCTAGTTATCGGGTGTTCGACTCAGTGATTTCCCTCGGAAAAACGTGGAAAATCATAATACATAGTTTGGCTTTACTATTGCGCAGTTCTTACTTGTGTGGAAATTTGAGTGTAGTGGTTGATTCGGCTTCACTGGATCTTTGAATTTTTTTTAAATCCTGGTGTTGTCAGATGAAGAGGGAAATGAAGACGTCACCGACTTATGCCGACAGTCTCCTCAAGCCAGAGGTGAGAAATTGAGGTTTTGGAGTTGAGGAAAAAATCGGGGGTGTGATGGGGTTACCTTTGGGATTGGGAGGTGGAGTGTGATGAGGAGTGGATGGAAATTTTTTTGTTTTTGTTTGTTTGTGATTGATTTGGTGGCACTAATACTAGGTGATTAATTATTACGTTGCGGGCACGAGGCCCACCGGCGGTCGACTCATCGATCCGCTCTGGCTACGTCACGAGGGCATCGCTACTCCGAGGCTTACGGAAACGAAATAACCCGAGTGCTCTCCACCATGTGAATTTCATAAGGGCCCACTCACATATTTTTTCCTCTTCTGCCACGTTCATTCGGTGGAACTCAAATGGGAAATTTATCGAAATTTGTACGTCTTCCGAACATCAAATTATTGAACGTTGGAAAATGTTTTATTGGTAACGAACCGATTTTTGTGGTTGCACCATCTTTGGAATTAGCAAAATATTCAATTGAATTTCTTGGAATTTTAACGTTTTCCAAAAATTCACTGATCAATATTTGTGGGAATTTTATTGTTAACAACCGAATTTTCGTTGTTGGGAATTCTTCGGAATTCTCATGATATTCAATTGGATTTGGAGAAGAAAGGTTATGGAAATTCAAGGTTTAGGGAGAATTCAGGGAATTTATGAATTTCATGAATATTTGATGAACGATTTTAGAAATAATGACTGAATATCGTTTAAAGGGGAAAAATCATAAAAAGTGAAGATTCTCTCCAAATTTGAAGACGAGTGTTCTATAATTTATTTGGTGTTTCGAAATAATGAAAGTATTCGTTTTCAAATTCTTATACTTTTAATTTTTTAGTAGAATCTAAAATTTCATAATTTTCCCCGTAAAAAACAATCATTACCATTGGACTTGAGATTCACGAATATATTTACTGAATTTTTACAGTGCTCTATTATTTTTCAGGGAAAAGCAGAACAGAAATTCACAATCTTCTCCAATTTTCCCTCAAATTTTCAATTTACACCGACAAAATTCCCTGAAATACCAGTGGGATCGAATGCGATAAAAATTTCAAGAACTATACTCCAAAAATTAAAAGTCTCAATTTGTAATTTGATTGATGATTGATAGTATTGGTGAATGACACTTCTTACGGCCTTTTCCATTTAATTTATGTCGAACTCTAGTTTGCTTGGAGTAATCAAGGTCAGATCTAGATAACTGGACTGGAAATAATCGATGGCATCTGTATTTTTCGTCGGCGTGTAGAATATTTGTCTAAGGCGACAAATTCTTTGGACAAGTTATTGCGCTAGAACTGGTTTTTTTTATTAACCTACCAATGGTTCTCGGATTAATTCTGCAGTTTCACGAGAATTGCAAGAGTGCATTAAAGAATTGTACAATTCGACCAAAGACCGACAGGAATTTCCCTTTAACAACATTTTACAGAACAGAATTTGATAAATAATTTTTCTTCTTGTTAAAATTAAATACTCAATAGCATTCCAATCTGTTATAATTAACTGAACTATTGATCTGGATTTTTCTGCCACTGAAATTCAAAAATGTCGAGTTTCCAGTACTATGTTTTTAAAACTACTTTCAAATTATGTAATGTTTGTCAAAATTCATGAATAATTCCGTCTCACATCCGATTCAAGGCCGCACTGCTGGAGCCCAAACTGAAATCATCACTTAAAAACTTCAATAAATATCATGATTACGTACAATTTTCTATAATAACTACGATTAAATTACCACACTTAATATTTTTTTTCAAGTTCGTTGACATTTCGCTCCTAAAAATTAGAATCGAGCTGAAGAAATTCCAGATAAAATCTACTCCTCCATCAGTAATAAATTTCACCCACAAAAATTGCTGCAGTAGAACGTCAATTGAAATCCACACAATAATTTCTCCCAATTTCTGAAAAATATTACAACAATTCCCCACTGATAAAATTTCTGGAGTCAAATAATTACAAATTACGAAAACGGTATATTCTGCTCAGAGCACAGATAATGTTCCCTGGAAGGGTAGACAGGATATTTTTACCAGATAACCTGTAGTTATTGAAAAATAACAATTTGAAAATTGCACGTGTCCATTGAATCGGGATTGATAAACGCGTGGGTGTTTAATCGAGTCGCGTGCGTGCGCACGCGTTTGACTCGACATCGAAAATGTCTCGATGGGGTTTTACTCGAGTTGTTTTATCCCAGCTGGAGCATCAGAGATGCGCGTGGGCCGAGGGACACGATGTATTCGGTCGGAGACGATGACGAGATCTCATTTTTGCTATTCATTCATGTATCCAACCGCTTCCCCCATTGGACGATCCGCGGGTGTGTCTGTGACGTCATTCTGCGAAATCTATATTCATTATTCCGGTCGGCGAGCATCCGGTTTCGAACTTTCCGCGGGAAATTGAAATGTGCCATGGTATCATCGGTTCTTTCACTTCAAGTAATCTATCATTTTTTTATCTTACGCGACCCCTTAACATCTAAATGGATTTTTTCTCTCAATATTCAATAAAAAAATTATATATTATTAATTTTATATTATGATAGATCATTGTAATAGTCTGCCGAGTCGAATAAAATTGTGATTAACCTTCGGAATAAATTAATTTTTATGAATTTAGTGGTTGAAGACAAGATCTACGCTTTAATTATAGAAAATGGGAGGAGCGAAGCCCTACGTGCCTAAAGAAGACGACAATCTTAGAAAAATATCATATTTTTTACTGTCACTTACTCACGGATATCTTTAGTTCGATAAAAATGAATGAGCTCGTAGAAACCGTCGAAAATAACGAATAAAAATCTTATAATAGAATTTTTCTCGATGTTGCAAAAAAATACGACTTGTCTAGTAAGGATTACTGTGTTTCTAGATTAAATTCCACAGAATCATTCTTATTTTTAGAAAATTCCAAGTTTTTTCAAAGTCATCGTACTTCACAAATAGAATAAAAATTCCGATAGCAGCCAATACGCTGTATTAATTCACGATGTTGCGTACCTAAATTAATTCGCGTACTGTAATCGTTTGTTCACTATTAGTTCACTTGAATCGGACGATAGCAATTGATCGATTGACTTGGGATTGTAATTCTATCGATACCTACACGAGGTGCCAAGTGACCTACATAGCATCGATCTTCTTATTACCAATGGCCTAAATAAGAAACCGCGAATATTCAAACGATTTCATCCGAAAAATGTAAATGATAAGCTTCCTTCGAAATTCAGACAAGATCCTGATAATAACAGCAGAATTGTTTATGAATTTTCATAGATTTGTCTCACATCTCCTCAATTAATTAACAATCGAATCTTCTTGTATATGAACTCTTCTGGATATTTTTCGATCTATAATAAAAGATATTTATCAAAATATCACAATCTCCTGGATATCGATCGTTTTCTAGTTTTAGTTAAAATTTATTTTTAGAAATTTAATTGTGGATTTAAGGGAGATATTTTTTTTCCATTCAAATGGAGCGACTAATTGAATGATAGAGCAAAAACAACTCGATTCGATACAAACGTGTTCTCGATCTTTTTTCAAGTGGTTTCTGTTACTTCAGAGATTCAAGTGTCATCTAGAGTTCCGCAATAACCGCAAGGACATGATTTGCAACACACAAATTACGTTTTGCATCTATTAGGTTTCTGCATTTATTTCTGCGTTTGAATAATTGACGCACATTCCTTCAACTCTTTTTTATTTTTTAAAGATCATTGAATTTACGGGGCATTAATTATTCCTACGTATGAATGACTCATGCAAATCGTTTCAAATCCATTAGTGTATTAAATACTAATGAATTTATGGCACATTAATTATATAGCAGGTGTGTCACTCAATTAGTCTGGAAGCTTTCGATTTTTAGTTATTGGGTCAATAATAAAATCGAATAATGGAATTGTTGAGGCGTTTAGACTTTCTATTTGAGTCGCGAGTATATTTCATCGCTCGATCAATCTTCGTTACTCCGATCAATAAATTTTTCCTCGTAATACTCAAAGGAATAAAAAAATGTAGAAATATGGAGCCGGTGATTCATTGTCGCGAATTCCCTTGACCACTCGACAACTTTTTGCCTGATATTTTTCCCCACCAACAAATGTTCCCGCAACGGTCGAGTCCAAAGAACAGTCATACCCCAATTTCTATTGTAGACGTGAAGATAAGAATTATTCAAAAACTGCAAAGATAAGAAGTACTCGATAATTTGCGAGACGACATTAACTGATAAGCTCGATAATTCCGAGCAATATATCAATACCAATATATCAATAACCGAGAAATCCTTTGATGCATGCGATAAAAGAGAAATGTAATAAATTTATTGCAGTGCACTTATCACGTGCTGTTGACTGACGACTCAGTGATTGGATTGCATTTGACATTTGATTGTGGAAAGATAATTCAATGTCATTGAGAGTACATGTTCAATGTTTTCAGATCAAAGATGCTTGCAAGGATCTTGTCCTCTCGGACGAACAGCTCAGACTTCTCATGGACCGACTGAATCATGAAATTGAACGAGGTTTGTCAAAAGAGACACATGAAGAGTCCATCGTCAAGTGTTTCACCACTTACGTCCAGGATCTGCCGAATGGAACAGGTATAATTCGAAAAAAAAAATCTTGTATCAAAGTTATCCATGGGAATTTTTTAAGAAAATTAAATACGAATTGTTGGTCATTTGAAAAATAACTATGAGGAGAGAAATATTTATTATTGTTCCTGCACTATTATAAAACGTTGGGGTAAATTTTATTTTTTAAATTTAGGGATTTCTCTCTGTGCAATTTGGAATTTCATTATTCTTTTTAATAAATATGAAATTGAATTGGATAAACTATGTTTTTTTAATCTAATTGAATCTGATTTTAATGCAATTTTGTAGAAAAGGGAAATTTCCTGGCACTGGATCTGGGTGGGACGAACTTCCGAGTTCTTCTCATTACGCTGGACGGCCAAAATTTCGACATGAAGAGCAAAATCTACGCGATTCCACAGAGTCTAATGCTGGGAACTGGTACCCAATTGTTCGATCACATAGCTCAGTGTCTTGCCCTCTTCGTCAAGGACCTGGAGTTGGAGAACGAGATTCTACCGCTTGGATTTACCTTCAGTTTTCCACTGACCCAGCATGGACTCACCGAGGGCTACCTCGCCAGGTGGACGAAGGGCTTTGACTGCAGCGGTGTCGTCGGGGAGGATGTCGTCAGACTCCTGGAGGATGCCATCGCCAGAAGAAACGTGAGTGCACGTCCAAATTTCAATTACTCAAATCTTACTTCTCCAGTCAATTGGCAAATCCAAATTGAATCAACTTTTGTTAAATATTTTAAATTTTTTTTCTACTATTTTTTATTCTTTTTAAAAATTCAGAAAAAAACGCAGGAAAAAACTTCACGAGTCATTAAATTAAATTGAAAATGCGAAAGCGTTATTTTTTCATATTATTTCCGACGGAAGTTTTCAAGAAAAAAAACGAACGGATAATTTTTGCGAAAGGGGTGTAACATCCTTAAGAAAAATATTTCAGAGGTACAATCCATTTTCCTTATTTGAACTCTTCCAGGATGTTAAAATTGACGTCTGCGCCATACTGAATGATACAACAGGAACATTGATGTCATGTGCGTGGAAAAAACCAGGATGCAGAATTGGTCTGATTGTTGGTGTGTAATATAAACCATCATTACCGTGTTTTAAAAAGATATTTCTCATTGTTTTCGTATCACTGTTGAACTCTATGATTATAAAATTACTCCTTGAGACTCTGTTCTCTTCAAAACAATCGACGAATTCATAAAAAAAAAAAAAACAGAAACAAATCTGAACACTCGAAAAGCAAAATTGAATAAAAAACAAATTCTAGAAATGATTAATTTCCGACTCCGTCTGTACTCATTTGAATGCCATAAAATTGCCAACAGTTCAGTAAATTTGCCCGATATAATTCCTGAATTTAATTATAAGTTTGTAATATGCGCCATTGTTTATGCAATTGTTTGTCTCCTCTTCTAGGCACTGGCAGTAATGCATGTTACGTAGAAAAAACTGAGAATGCACAGTGTGCAAATCCTGGTAACTACAACCCTAACAAGACAAGTATGCTGATCAATACTGAATGGGGTGCACTTGGAGAAGCTGGTACCCTCGATTTCGTTGTGACTGAGTACGATCAGGCAATCGACAGAAATTCGATAAACCCCAGTAAACAGATATTCGAGAAGATGATATCAGGAATGTACATGGGAGAATTAGCAAGACTCGTACTTGAGAAACTAGTTGACAATGGATTATTGTTTGGGGGCAAATGTCCAGTGGATTTGAAGACACGAGGAAAATTCTTCACTAAATATGTTTCAGAAATAGAGGCGTGAGTTACATAAGAATTGGATGACTGAATTGTAAGAGGCGATGAAAATGGTAATGACTACATTTTTTTCTTTCTTGCAGAGATCCCAAGGGGAAATACACAAATTGCCGGGAGGTTTTAGCGGAATTGGGGATACGTAATCCATCTGATCAAGACTGTGAGAATGTTAGATACGTGTGCTCAGTTGTGTCGAGGAGAGCTGCACATTTGGCGAGTGCTGGTATTGCTTGTTTACTTATAAAAATTGGGGAGGACAATGTTACTGTTGGAATTGACGGGTCAGTCTACAGATTTCATCCACATTTTCATGATCTTATGACTGAGAAAATTAGCCAACTACAGAAGTACAAGGTACATTTTTTTCATTTTACTCTTATATTCTTAAAATCTCTGTATCAATAGAGAATATTTGAACAGAGCAAGTAAATAATATTTTATAGATGAAAAAAAATCGATGAAGATTAGAAAAAATTGTGATTATATAAGTCGTTCATTGGAATCAGTAGACGTCATATACCAAATTAACGTCAATTAGAGTTTTAATGGTATTTTTTTTTTCTCATTTTCAGTTCGATTTGATGTTGTCCGAAGACGGCAGTGGTCGAGGTGCAGCGTTAGTTGCTGCAGTAGCTGCACAAAAACGGTGAAGACACACCGATTAATCAATAATTTGATAATTAATTGAATTTTTAGATGTAAATTAAAGCGATCGAAAGAAGAGAAAAACTTTAAAAAAACGATGAACTTAAGGAGAAGTACTTTGTTTGTCACACTACTTGTAAATAGAGCACAAAGAGATAAGATCATTGATTTAAATATAAAAGAAAAATCGTGTATAGATTAAATAGCCTAGGTCGTTGGCTGACGTGAATTAGGAATACTAGTCTGGTCGATATTCAGGAAAAAATGAGAAATAAAAAGTTATAATTTTCTTCTCGATCTTGCGTGTAATACTGAAGGGACAAAACGATGTCAAAGTGGATATTTAAGTCGATAGCTAACAAACATTGTTATACAGAGAGAACAATTACACCCCGGTTACTTAAATTTCATTTTGTAATAATCACATTAGTTTGTCTACAAAAAGATAAAAAATGAATGTCGTTAATCCGATGTGGACAAAAAAAAATGGGCGAGTGGGTGAGAGTATTTTAAGAGTAACCTGTGAATATGTGTGCAAATGTGATTGTAAGACAAAAAAAAATCAACAGCAGTGATGTTAAAAATCAATTGGATGAAATTATTTATTCAAAGGAGAAATCGGGAGGAACGACATTTGTGACGATTTATAAATTATTTGTATCGTTACTTAATTCGTATTAATTAAACGAGATGAATCTTACAACAAGATAAGTGAAAGGAATCTCAAGTGTTTTTTAGGCGACTGACATTTCGACCAACGAAGGAAAATGGAAGAATAATCGGTAACTATAATAATCATGTCTCACATCGACTCTGGATATCATTGAAATTCATTATCAACAGCTAGATAACGAACTCCACAGTGACAATACGTGAATAGTAATACACTACGTGTTCTAAAGGACAAGTTTTCTCGAGTCATAACGAAGATGCCTGTTGTTACAGTTGAAATAGTCTTGTTACCTTCCGTATTATAAAACGTATCTTGGACACAACTTCGTGCTTTATTTATTGATTATTTATTTTCAAATTTATCGATTCCATGCTGAGGAGTCTGTCCGTCAGCCGACTCGGTAACTGCCAAAAAGGTTTGACTAAAGTGGAGGCTCAGTTCTGGGGGTTTGAGTGACCCCAGCGGCATCGTAGTACTGCACCCCAAGAGAGGGAGGGCGCAACATGCAATGCTGGGTGTTTTTTTTTTATTAACCAAGTTTTTATTGCAATGCTGGGGTGTCCAACAAGTCGACGGGATGAATTTTATTTTCTGCTGTACGAATGCTTTTTGTTTTTCATTTGTTTAACTGAAATTTAGCCGACTGTAGCACGTACGGAAGGGGGAAACCACATCTTGTGGAATTTCAATG